ATATCTATATAATTAAAATTGCATACAATCGATATAATTAAAATTGCATACAATCGATATAATTAAAATTGCATACCATCTATATAATTAAAATTGTATCGACATAACACGGTTCAATCAAAAAAAGTCTTTTTAAATAACTCACTAATCATACTTACAATTTTTTAATGCTATATATGATTCTAGTTTCCAAACTGCTCTTGTTACAATTTAGAGAAATTTGTAATTAAAATTATTTTTTTTATTTTTTAAATTGTAACATAATAAAGCAATTTAGAAACTGGAATCGTATTCAGCATCAAAGAACAGAATTAGTCTTGTTTCAAAAATTAGTTATTTATTTATTAAACCGTGTATTAACAATCAAAATTATTTATTTCTGTAATTGTCTTACTTGAAACTGTTCTTATAGACATCAAATGACAATTATGAAATGCTAAAAATATGTTACACATTTTTCTCTATATTTTACTTTAATTATTATTATACGTATTTACGTATTATTTTAATGTCACATTACTTTATATTTTATTATTTTAGCTTCTATATTATTTTCTATACATATATTTTGATAAAATTTGTATATGTGTTTATATTTATCAAGGCATACTACAAAAAATGTATGTATTTCTAAAGATTTGGAGAAAAATAAATTAAAAAAAAAAATTGTGAAAATAATTTCAAAATTTTAAATATTTAATTTTCTTTTAAATACATTTTATTGCGTCAAAATAGTGACGTTATGAGTGTTTCCTACTATGTGAATAAAAATATCTAGACAATTAAATGAATCTAAATGATATAATTATTGCTTCTTTTTTTATATACGTTATCAAATATATTATCTCCATCTTTATCTTATTGTTAATTAAAAAAGAAATGTTATTTTCTCTATATAATTTAAGATAATATTTATCAAGTTTAGTCTACATCAACGTAAATATTAATATTTTTAGAAAATTTTAAGTATACAATATATATCATATTTATATAGAATTTCAATTTTTAAAATATTCATTTTTAAATCACAGCACTTTTTAGTTATGAAGATAACAAATATATGTAGCAATTATTTATGACACATTTAACAAATTGTTGATTTTATAAAATAAGAACTTAAAAATGACAATCTATTTATAATATATAAATTGTTCTTTCATACCTTAAACTGTTTTTCTTAAAAATTGTTGCCAAGGTTATGTAAAATTCTCTATTTCATCTTTCACTTAAATTTCAAGCAGAACTATCTTCATCTAAAATATATTTACATACATTCTGTCTTATCTTGATTTCGAAATTATCTAAGCGAAACACTGCACATTATATCACAATTACAATAAACATGAACTAACGTTTCTCTCTTTACAAACAGTTTTAATACATTTTGATTTAACTTTAAATATATTTGTGACGACTGGATAAACGTACAAGTTTCGCCATCTATAGTTGCTAGTTACAACTACAACCATGAAGAACATCTCAGATGATCATAGTCTCAAACTATTTTACCGACATTTCATTGAGAAACTTCATTGAGATTTTATTTCATTATTAACAAGATTGTTTCTTTAATAATATTGTCAATTATATATCTACATTAAATATTCATAGTTTATAGTTTCCCTAAATAAAGTTGTATATTGGCAGAGAAACTATGCAACAAAAGACATCTTTCCCTCTCATTTCAATGAAAATGTTGATTACTTCTAAATTGTTGATTGTTGCTTAAAAAAAAGAGGAGAATACTCAAAGATGATTCTAACAGTTTTTCTGTCAACTAATTACCTTCATTTTAGGAATCGAATACTCTATCTAGTATACACGTTACGCTTTGCAATGTAAACAAACGATAAAAGATTATATACCTACACTTTATAAATCTTAATATAAATATTTCCCAATATGTGTGTGTAAAATTTAAAAAAAAATTAAAAATATACAAAAATAAAACGTATCACCTCCTCTTACTCTATTTAAATTTTACTGCAAATAATGAATGCTAATTCCTCATAGAAATGAAACGATATATGTGACAGATAAATGACACATTTCACATTGATTAAGGAAAATCGCTTTCAAATTGATAAACGATGGTAAGAAATACCTTCGATCTGTCACTAATGCATTCCCATCGGATAGCAAATTTCTTTTCTAGGATGCAAGAAATTGACATCATATCCTGTCAATTTGTCCGTGTCCATCGATCCGTCAACGATGACAATGAAAACGAGCCAACAACGAGGAACAGCAGGCTCGGCCTGTTGATCTGTGCACAAGCCACGGGCCAAGTAACAGTAAACTTTGTATCCACTCCTTCCCATACCGTCTCTCTCGCTTCTGCATACTTGTTGCTTACTATCGAAACATTATTCCCGTCCCTTTCTTGCATCCTTTGATTATGTCATTTTCATTTTCATCTCTTATTGTTAGATCGATGGACGATCAATTTGTGACCAATGTGAATGTACACGGAAGGAATTTCCTCTTAGAGTTTACCTTGAAAATCATGCTACCAGTGACGCAATATGGTACTGAAAGGAATTTTATATAATTAATATTGAAGTTTTTCTAATTAATATTTCCAACAATAGAAAAATATGAATATGTATACCATAGTGAATTTTATTATGTGCATTATAATAAAATTAACTTATTGTGGTAGATATTAATATTTTTCATTGTGCTAAATACTTAATCACAGAACAACTTTTATAAAATTCTTCCAATAAATTCTCTCTGCATATGTTATTATATATTGATTGAAGTTTTTCTAATTAATATTTCCAACAATAAAAAAATATGAATATGTATACCATAGTAAATTTTATTATGTGCATAATAAAATTAACTTATTGTGGTAGATAATCATATTTTTTATTGTGCTAAATACTTAATCAGAGCAACTTTTATAAAATTCTTCCAATAAATTCTAAGAATAAATTCTCTCTGTATATACGAATATGTTATTATATTGATTTAATATTTTTTGATGTTAAATCTTGGTTCAGATTTTCACTTAAAACCAATCTATCTAAATTATCTTTCTAAATTTTAATTCGAATCTTGATTTTTATACGAGTTTTGCTACTTTATTATCATTTTTAACAGATATCTATTTTTTACGTCGTGAAAGAAAAAGAGAGAAAAAAAGACAATGGCATTTTTATGCCATTATCGTATTTATTTCGATTCTCGAGTTTCATTTAAAATGATGATTGTATGATAATTATTTTAATGAGATAAAAACTTGGCGTTTAAAATTTAATGCTCGATAATCTCTAAAATCGCATACAAGGAAATTTTTTTAGTAAGAATTTAATTTAACTGCTCGTTATAAATTTTTTCTTAAAAAGAAAAAAAGAAAAAGAAAAACTTTTTAACAACTTTTCAGCAATGCAGCGTTAACAAATGAGGCTACGATAGAGACGTGTTTTTAATAGCTCGAAAACTGAGTCAGTGATGACAACAGAGAACGTGATTTTGCGAAGAGCGACTCGGGACAATACAAACCGAGCATATTGTTTTAAACAGTTGTCGTCATGAAGTCGGTAATAATAGCCGCCGACGAAGATTCATCACCGAGATGGAAATAATGGTGGTGCGGGCAACGTACGAGAAAGAAAGAGAGAAAAGTCGAAACAAACGCGAGAATGCCGTAAAAGGGACACACATTCCCACATTCGTTCCCTTTCCTATTTCTTTTAACTCGCTCACAATGTCCTTCCCATATTCATTGTTTTATATTTTGTAAAACGTTCGCTCTTCTGTGACGACAGATCCGCAAACGTGCCACGATCCAAAAATATCTCCCGTTAGACGATGATAAACTCGGGGATTTTTATATATTCATATCAGAATATAATCCTCTTATTCTCTTTTATTTATTGCGCGTATAGTTATTTTTTTATTCTTTAAAAAAAAAATAAAAATAAATTTGCTTCTTCACATTGGAAAAAAAAATCTTTTGAAGAGAATTCTATGTCAATATAGTAAAATGATAATAATAAACTTGGTTATTTTAATTATTCAATCATAATTATCTTATTATTATGAATATTCATGATTTGCGGTCCAAATTAATATTCGTAAACAAGGCAACATTAACCATTTCATTGTAATTTTGATGTAACATTGTTGCTTAAAATATGGTAACTAGTTTTTATTGTCAAAAGAATTTTATAAAAATTCATATATTGACTATAAAATTATTTTCCGGTCGTTTAGAAGACTATATGAAGGATTGTCATAAATTATATGACACGTCGTATCAAATGTCATATAAAAATGTCAAGTAAAAATAACAATGATAAAATAGACAATAAAAGAAATATTAATGCAGCACGAACAGAGCAAAAAAAAATAAAAACATAAAAGAGTTTCCTATTAATAGTTTCTCATTAATGGATCCACATCTTTGTTCTTTATAACGTCGCGATTACGACCGTGAAAACGCGCACTCCTACCTTTCGCAGAATTTTAATAACTATATACGACGTATGTTCCGGTTCTCTTAAGTCACGCATAATTTTTTTTTTAACGACGGACTTTAACATCCTGTACATTCAACGTGTTGAACAAAAGTAGACACAATTTCGCGCGCACGCGCGGATGTTACAGCTTTTTTCGGTCGAGCGATGACCTTAAAAAATTCCCGTTACAAGACGAGTGCACCCGCATTCGAGATGATAATGCGACTCGACTGTGAGTCATATCTCGTAATCAACGCAAGCGATTGTTCCCATGTTTTCGATTCGTTGGCAATGCATACACAAAATATTATTCCACGCAGTCGAAAGAAATTGACAGCTCTTTATCGGATTCGCCACCTGTTGCAGAAATTCGGTTGAGTTCTCGATTGCCGACAAGACGGCCTCATTATTCCGAGGGATGTTTTAGCCTTTCTTTTTTTCTTTTTTTTTTTTTTAATATACAGGGAGGCGAAAACGATAGAGAAAAAGTACGAACGAATAAAGAATGCTTCTTTTTTTTTGTGCACTCACCTTTGCCTGCTGACAGTCCTCCACGCTGTTTCTCTCTCCATGCTTGTCGAACACGGCAAAGCGATTCTAAAAAAAATGGAGAACAAAGCTCTAATTATTTCACTCTGATATCACAATATCGTGTGTTAAAGCGAAGCGTTTCATTTCCGATCCCGATGAGTAACATCAGCGAGTAATCTCGACGTCGCGCCGCGAGCGAATCATAAAACGCGCCGCGAATTTCCGAGCGAGATACCAGATAAATTATTCGTGGATTATTTTACGAGCTGGAATATGCGCACGTGTACTTTTACCGCGCGCGACGCGAGAGGCTACAAGCGCGAATATTGTGACGTAAGGAATGAAAGTCGATGACAGACTGTCGCCGCGGCGGCGAGATCGCGATTTTTTGGCGAACGGAGAAAGTTCACATTACTCTTCCACTTCTCTTACCCCGATTCTGGTCCTCAAGGTTGACACAATCGAAGACACGAGCAACACTCGATTAAGAATCTTCCGCAAAGATTTCGGCCGACTTGCGGCGTCGCGGTTCATTTTGACAGAAGTTACACCCTCCTTGTCACTCGCCTATCCCACCGGGATTAAAAGTCGCTACAGAATGTGTCGCGTCATTGTAAAATAAAATAAATAAAAAAAAAAATGGAGGATATTGAGATAAGTGGCGCGAGAAATAAATACGATAAGGAACGCAATCGCCGACGATATCGACGGCGATATATGTGGCACTCTAACTAGCACTATCGTATAACGCACGAGGCGATAGTAGACCACGGTGGATCGAAACTGCGGCCCGACGAGCGCACTAACGCGCCGATACCGCGAGGAAAAAGCACGCTCTCGCGCTCCGTACGCTTTATCTCACCTCGGTGGTTTCCTGCTGATACCGCTCGCCAGCAGCCTGAAACGCAAAAGCGAAACGTGACGTCACTCATACAGACCGAGCGTATATATACAACGTATTAGAAAAATGGGTGAAACGCGCGGTAATTATGCGCATCGGGGCTATCACTGCGCCGTGCTTTCTGTCTTTATTAAAGAGCGCCGACTTTCTTTCGTCGCCGGACCAAAAATCATGAAGTTTCTTCACCAAGCTTCATCATTTGGCAAATAATAAGAGAAACGTGCAATTGGATAACTAACACAAATTACATTAAATATATAATTATAATAACAAGAGGGATTTTGTAATTTGTATAATAAATAATAATTAAACTCTCGGATAATAATGGCACGAAATTTCTTTTTTAAAAACGACCGCACGCAAAGAGAATATCTCTGTCATTCGAGAGATCAACAGGTCGGCGAAAATTGTGATTGGCACTTTTAATCTAACGAATTGATCTAGATACTTACATGCACTATACTGGTCGTATCTGGCGAGGTCGCGGAGGCCAGTTGGTTCCGGTTCTCTATGACCGTCTTGATTTGTTCGAGTACCTGCAAACAAATCACGTATAAGTGATCGATAGTTTGACACGTGTTGTTATACGCGACTGTCTCATTTGTCAAAATTATAATTTCACGTATAAAAATATAATTGTGGAGAAAGCTGCGAGACTTTGCATTTTTTTTATTATCTTTTTGACGACAGTTGAACGAAAAATTGGCGCGTTAAAAAACAGAAATTTTCTTTTGAAAATATTTAGTATATTTCTTTTTATTTATGTGTCTAGCATACGTATAAAACACAGCATATTTTAGTGCTCTATCAAAGGTAGAAAATATGTTTCTGACAAAAAAATACGACGATAAAAATTGTTATATGCGTCTCGCGCGTGAAATGTTTATCGTTAAAAGCGTCCGAAAGCAGCCGCGAGTTTTACGAGCATCGATTTACGAGCTTTAAAAGTGTGTTAAAAGCTTCCGCGAATTTACCCGCAGGGATATCCGGTGCCTTTGTGCAGCGTGATGATTGCACTCCTTGTGTTCGATAATCTCGTTACTCTTCCTAGCCTGTCTTCGCTGGAAAAAGAAGACAAAAGAAAACGTTCGTAAAATGAAACTGAGTGCATTTTGCATGCCGGGATTTTCCACGAAACGTGAAAACTATTCGAGAAGACTTTCCTCACAAGTATCAGGACGGAACGTGCTCATCTCATTTTTTTCTCTCGAAAATAGAAAGGATCGTCCTACATTTCGTGGCATTCTGATACGAGTCATCCGATAATTATCGATTGCAATAATTACGATAATTACAGTTAAGATGCATTCGAGATGTAATTCTCGCCGATACTAATCGAAGCATAAGATATATAATTTGTCGGATATATATATATATATATATATATATATATATAAAATTTCGACATAGAATTTATCTTATAAATATAAATTATATTTACTCTCCAGATTCGGATTAATACTCGTATCAAAGAAATTATAATCATCATTTTCGAAAAGTAAAATATAATTTGCCGGTTATAAGTTTGAAAAGTACGAAACAAAATTTAACTAAATTAATAAATTACATTTTGCAAGATAAAATCAACGTTTGTTATATATGAATAGATCTATAAATCATATTTTCATGTAAAAAAAGTAACATTCTTCTTTATATTATTTTTATTATTTTATTATTACTAAATTACTCCAAAAACGAATACTTGAAGATAACTGTTATAATAAACGATATGTGCTACATCGAATATATAAAGACGAAAAAAGTTAATAATCCTCATTCACGCAAAGGGAATATCAATGAAGGAAAGTAACGGTATGCGCGAGGAGAGAAAGAACAAGAAAAAGTACTTCGCACGCTTATTCGAAGAAATGCGAAATGCCGAGTTAATTAGCTTCGTCGGTCAATTATACATATCCGCGAGAGACGTGTTGTTATTTTTATGCAACTCCGCGATAACGGCGATTGATCTACCTATATGTACGTGCATGCATGTGCATACCATATGCGCGCTCCTGAAAAAAATCAGAAGACAAGTCACGAGTCAATCGTGGACATGTGTAATCGCGTAATTCGATTCGCGCGTGCTTAGAATGCTGCAGACTCTCCCGAGATGTCAACGAGATGAGACGAGAGAGAGAGAGAGAAAGAGGCCGTTTTTGCGGCCATTCACGCTTCACGCGGTAGCGAGCACGACTCGCGAATCTCCGTGTATATAATTCGCGGATATGTAAATGATACTAGAAAATACATGCTGCCGTGCACTTGCATCACAATTAATGAGCTCTTCAAAATTATTCTCGCAAGTTGCCGCGAGTTTCACCAGCTGACGGAAAGGAAAACTTGACGAGTCTCTCCTCGTGTATTCCTTATACGTTAATGATCATCATTGGATCGAACTTTTATGTATAGGAAATAATTTGCCGCCACTTAATCTATCAATGCTCAAATAACCGCTTTCATTTTTTATAATAATTGTGACATCTATTTGCGCATATATAAATAACGTAAATTTAGAAATTTATTTTAACATATTATAAAACAAAGTGACAATCAAGCTCGTATCAAATGAAAATTAATACAATAGAAAAAAATTGAGCGTAGTTTCTAGACATATTATTGACACAAATTATGATATGGATTGGAATGACGTTAAAATTTTAGATTGTGAAAGCAATTATTACACATTAAACAACAAAAAACAGTTTGAACCTTATAGATGATATTGATTTATTAGACAAGGCTTATTTCCCGATTTTAGACAAAATAAACAAAATATAAATAAATTTCACCTTTTTCTAAATAATATATAAAGATTGAGAGAGAGATTTTGCGTATATATATTCAGCCTAATAGTCGATAAAGAATAACACACTATTATGGAGATCGAAGCGAAAAATAAAAAGATGTAAGTATTTGCAATTTAACTAATATTAATTATATTTAATAAAATCCGTATAAAAGTTTAACTGTACGCTATTGTTAACATAGATTGAACATTAATTATTACCGACCACCAAAATTAATACGAAGAACATGGACATATTAGTATATTTTACATTGCCAACAAGACAACTATAGCTTTAAGATGAAATTTATAGACTGTTATTATATGTATAATTGTATTGAATTTAGCGATTGAGAAGTCACAAGTAAGTGACGAAACGTCTTGCATGAATTTTTTGTCAAATTTATATTTAAATACATTAATTATACATATTCATTCATATTTGCTCGTGTAAAAGCCTTTTTCTATTGTATTAATTTTTATTTTAACATATTTTCATCCCATTTTGTCTGAATTTAATTTTTGCGACAATTTAAAAAATTTATTTTTAACATTTTTAATTCGACCCAAACTAGCCAAAAAAATTTTTATTTTATTTCCACAACGTTTCGACCATCTGTTTTTGGTCCTTTTCAAGTGAAAAATTCCTTGATAAAAGCGCAGTTAGTTGACACTGTTGTCATGATTATTAAACATACTCAGTTTTTTGACGATCCATCATAACGATAAGATGCGGTTACTTTCTTTCAAAAGTTCTTTCAAATGTTTTTAAAAAAAGTCCGATAATCATATTGTTTAATAATCATGACAACAGTGTCAACTAACTGCGCTTTTATCAAGGAATTTTTCACTTGAAAAGGACCAAAAACAGATGGTCGAAACGTTGTGGAAATAAAATAAAAATTTTCTTGGCTAGTTTGGGTCGAATTAAATATATCGTTCCTATTTTAAATACCACTAGCGACGTTTTAAGTATTCAATTTGATTTTAACATTTTTCTAAAAGAGATCTGCCGTTCCACGTTTCTTTTGAAATAATCTACTGGTCTGTTAGACACGTACCGGTTCCTTGAGAAATACGTTCTAAAAGCGACTCGGCAACATTATGTCTATGCGACATCTGAATACGAGAATAAAGTACTGACCTCGAGCGTCGTCAAGCTGGCCAGCGAGGAAAGAGGCCGTGTATAAGGAACTTCTCCGGGGAAAACGCTATCATGCGACACTGACAACTTGCCGGCGCCTCCTCGTAACTTGACGAAGTTATCCTCCGTTCCTCCTCTCCGGAGAAATACGCTGAAAGTTCACCAAAATATAAGACAAAGTTTCGTTTAACATTTTTTTCAACATTATTTATATGAAAATAAACATTATTTTCAATTAAATGAGAGAGATTTACACACCTTTAATATAAATAATTATAATATGAAATCATTCTAAAAAAAAGTCTGAAATATAAAGATAATTAAACATATAATCATAAGATATATTATTTCATCTCTCTTTATATGCGCGACACTCTACATTTATCGCCGGAGAAAACACAGTCGTAATATTTAACAAAAAATTTACTCGTTGCCATTAATATTTAATAAAAGCAATGAGTGATTTGCCAAGTAACACGCAATAATGACAGATAATTATAGCATCCTTATGTGAAATTCTAAACGCTTAAATTCTATATCGTTTGTATAAAGCAAACCACGTCATCATTGTATAATATTTAGATCACATTATATATCGTACAACGGAAATTATATAGCTATACATAAGACTCATATTAAGACGTACTATTACGTAAATTACAAAGTATTATGAAGTTCTACGAGGCTAAAAATGAAAACGGGACAAGTAAACGAGGTCAAAGATCATAAATTAATAATGAACCGAATACTACGATTCGATTTGTATTGCGCGAAAAGTATCAAATTATTTTGCTTTTAAAGGAAGAGAGGCGAGATTATTATTGCATTTTATTACTATATTATATACTATCTTGAATTTAAAAATATATATATACATATAAGAGAAATAAATTACTACATAAAAAGTATTAAAATAAAAATAAATGAATTAAAAAGAAAAGTTTTGTATATTAAAAGATATATCAATAACAATAATTATTATCAACAGAATATGATTTCAACTAATGCAAATTCTAATACTATATCATTGTGTTATGTGCTAAGCTATAAGATGATAGCCCCAATTATTAAGTTTCAAACTTAAACCACAAATATTGCACTCTTATAGCTTCTTTATTTTAAATTATTATACATATAATTAAAATATAAATTGATTAATTAATTACTCTCAGCAGTTTGTTGATACGACTATTTTCGTTGTTTCTCAAAATATATTCAAAGTTGATAATTAACATAAAGACACACCATTAAAATATTTATATACACGTAATATTGATGTCTACACTGACAATTTAGGATTAAATACGGTCTAAACAGCTACTCCGTTGAGATCGAAAGAAGATGTTTCTTACCTTTCCCGATCGCAGACGTCGGTGAGGAGCTCGCTGGCACTTCTGCTGCGAGCTTCTTCGGGACGTCCTGCGGGATGTCTCATCGTGATCTCCTCCCGGGGGAGACGCGCCAATTCAGCATCTCGATCACTTGAATTGGAAACGAGATGCGCGTCGGCAGCACCACGGCTTTTCCGCCGAAAAATCTTTCGAAGACCGCGGAGCGGATGAAAACGGCGCTTCTTTGGTTCTGCAAACGATACATTCGCAAAAAAAATTATATACATCAATTAATTCGTGCAATTATGATACGATTAATTATTACATATAATAATAATTGTGTATATCATATAATATATATAACATGTACTAATTTCTATAATTATATTATATTAAATATATAATATATATTATATTAAAAATATAATATATTTATTAATTTATTATAATATATATATATATAAAATATATTATAATATATTAAAAATATAATATAGTTATATTTTATATAATTATATTAAATTTAATATAATTATAGAAATATATTTAAAATTAATTGTGTAGACGAAAGACGAAATAATACAATAATTATAAAGTAGTAACTTATAATGTATGAATAATGTCTAAGCATCCGCGCGCGTTAAAAGGTGTTGAAGAAAATATTGAACGCAACATGTGCGTACTATATAATTTATATCTGCCTTATGACATATTATTGTTATCAAGATTGACACACGTTCAAAATTTGTGCGAGATGCGACCGAATAATATTTACCGAGAAAATCTTCGAGCGACTCGAGAGGCGGCATCCTTTCACGCATGCTGCAAATTTGGAATTCACATATTCCATTCGCACTATATACACTTGACTGATCTTACAAATTTAATAATGTACGATATACAGGAGAACGGTGTCATGACGTGATAAGATTAGAAATTCAATCCTCGATAACTCTATCGCGGCTGATATCGGAGGCTCAAGAGCCTCTCCTTATAAGGTGTGGACCTAGCACCAATGTAAACCTCTCTCTCTCTTTCTAATGGATTTCTCCTATATATGTTGTATATACTCCTCCATCATTCTTACCCGGACTAACTTTATCACTTGACGTGACGCATCCACCGATATTTCTCGAGAGAACCATGCGACATATCTTTGACGTTAATACACGGATTTGAGATTTTTTTAACAAGTATTTAAGATGGACTCTCGAGAGAGAAACGAGATGTGTAACAGGTATCAGAAAATTAAACGCGATCAAAAATACCTGTGCCGCATTTTATGCGGATTAAACTTAGCATATTAAATGGGTAACAAATGCTCAAATAAAATATGCAATTACAGCGAAGGTAAATAATAAATACTGATATAGAGAAATCATAAAAATGCGGAAGCGATATAAAGGGAAATAGAGAATAAATGAAAATGATAAAAAAAAATAAGATAAAAAAATGAGGTACTGCTTCGTAAAATTATGAAGATAATTGTATCAAAGTATGGTCCGTTATGTTTCCGCATAATAAATTTAAATAAATGTTAACGATCTTAATGAAATTATGAATATACATGTTTAATGTATTTATGATACCATCTCTTCTCATGATTAATATTCGTTAACTTTAAAAGAAACAAATATAAATTCTGAACATTAATTAACTTTACGCGCTATATAAAATGAAAAGAGCAATCGAAATTTAAAGTCAATTTATTCCAATATTATTTATTATTACGCATCCAATTTATTCGCAGCGCAGCGTGATGATGTTGCACTTAAAGTCGATCTACCACAATCTTGTTCTTTGATACCGTATAATGCTGCTATTTAAAGTCGATCCACGTACATTCCTCGATGAAATATCAGCTTTAACGAGACAAGAGGGGAGACGAAAATAAATGCTTGATCGGAAGTGATCTTTACTGTGTACTTGACACTTTCTGTACGACTGCACTTTACACGCTTCAGCGACAGCTTTGACATCGTTGAAGCGCGAAAAATAATGCCACAACCCGAGTCGCTCGTTCACGGCAACCTGTCAGACATAACGAGAACACTTTACTTGTGTGGGATATCGAGGATTAATGCAACATGTCTCGAAGATATACATGTCATCTGTCGCAGAATACTACACGTGAAAAAACGATGGATTCTCACGAGAACAAAAATTGTTCGGCAGATCAATTATTTAGAATTCTTTACACGATAAAAATATGTGAAATAATATTGATTTGTTACAAAACATTTTTAAAAAATTACAGATTTTTATTAGATCAAATAAAAATTTAAATAAATATGCAGCAGCAAGAAAATTAAATTAAATTTTTACAGTTCAAATTCTCAAAAGTTAAGGACATTAAAAATACAAGAATTTTGATCAAGATAGATATATCAATTAATTAAGAATTCATCAAATTTTTCTTTGTATTCTCGATTAAGAAATTAGCTCCCAAGTTAATTTTTCCGGAGCTTTGCAATTTGCGAAGAATTAATCAAATTATAGAGATTTGTTCGTCCGACCCGGAAATTCATCCGTAATGACACATAACCACGGATGTCTTCCGAACAATGGTGCCACCGAGCACCTGCACTGTAGAAAAAAAATCATATGATTCGTCGCCTGTCATAATCATAACTACCATCGTTGTTTTAATCTTTGCCCGCTCTTAATTAAGTAACGTACGCTTCTTACTACCGTTAACGACGTTCTCGATTTACCATTTCTTTGCTCGAGATACGAGGATACATCCTCGTATATTCGGGGAAATACATATACAATATAATATTACAAATTATAAATAATATTGTAACACGATGCTAATTTGCAAGATTATTGAATTAAAATTTATAACGTCTCCTTTAAGGATAAATTAATTCTCTCTATAACGTATGCAAAATGTAAAGAAGTATATACTTTAGATACAAAACTAATAAAATCGTAATTATACATATATGTAAAAGAGAAAAACGAAAATATTTTCAACGTTAAAGAAACGATTTTATTTTCAACTGCCGCGGATTTTTTAATAGAAAATCGTCGTATAAATCGTCCGATAAATCCGTATATGTTTTATCATATGCCTCGTTTATTTTTATACACGTCCAGAAAATATCACGCGTTTCGATCTCAAATAAAGGCGAGGTCGAGATTCCGATTCTCAAGAAAGAAAAAGTTTTTCTTGCAGCTCGTCTAGACTGTCGCCGCAAACGTTATTTAGACTATCTTGAGGAATCTAACAGAATGCAGTTCTCAGACATTTTTTTTAATAATGCGACAGATGACTGGAAAATACGTTCGGTAATCATTGAATTTTATATTTTTTTCTATTAAAAAAATATCGTGCATCTATATTTCATTATTAACAGTATTAATCATTATCGCAATATTATCAATAAATAAATAATGTCAATCATTTACAAACTTGGGAATCATAAAGAAAGTAAAAATAATAAGAAATCTCGCAATTTTCTAATATAATATATATATATATATCATTAAAACTATATTATTTATATTAAATTAAAATTTCGTTTGTTAATTCTTTTAAATATATATAACAAATAACAAAAAAAAATTTGATTTTTAAGTATGTAGAAATATATTTTTTGGTAATTACAATTGATGACAAATGACCCTAAAAGTTAATAATATTTTAATTTAAAAATAATGTGTTTACAACTTATAAAAAAAACAATAATGGTATTCAGAGATAAAAAAAATTTAACTTGGGAAAAAAGTGAATATAAGTTTAAGGTGAAAAATAACTAGTTGAAGTTTAAAAATTAATGCATTTTAAATGAACTAAGCGCTAAGTTAAAAGTTCTTAACTCAAACTTTTTTCAACTTTGCATATTGTATTTATTATATTCTTGAATTAAAAATGAAAAATTCCCAATACTTTGATCCAGAATAATATTTTCAGCATATAAATACATAAAATAATAAGTTGTCAAGTACCGACCTTTGGGCGCAGGATCGATGCTGTGCTGAGCCGGGAACTCGCCGAAAGGGCGAAGCTGTGGGTGATGATGATGATGATAGTGATGATGCGGGTGATGATTCTGAGGAGGCGGCGAGGCCTCCCTTACGCAACCCATCAGGCTAAGGGCACCGCCGCCTCCGCTGGAGGCGGTGCTCGTCGACATTGTCCTGCTGCTCTGAAACACCCCGAAGAGCCAAGCTGCAGCGTAGGACTCTCTCGCGCGATGGTACCACGCGAAGAAAAACCAGTTTCCCGATCCTTTCCAGCTCTTCCAGCCATCCATCTCTCTCTTTCTCCTCGAGATCTCGTCTCGTAAATAATATAAATGGATATTTAACGCGCGAAAAAGTCCAAGAATATTTATAGCTTCTCCAGTTCGCTCCTCGCGAACTTTGATCGCGTGCGAATGAAAAATCAGAGGTGCGGTCTTGATGGTCGACACAAATCGGGGAGATATTGATTTGGAATCAGCTGACCTTACTTTCGTCTCTCGCGGCGACCTTGCGCAACTTAATTCGATGTGAATGATATATCCCGCGCGGTTTGCATGGCATCATTTATTTTTACGACGATTATACGTGTCTCGAAAGAACAGGAAAGTAGCATGAAATCGATTCTAATCATTTTTCAACGTCAAAAGATACACGCGAGAAGAACTCGTCAATTATTTTGAAAGATAACTTCTAAACGCGCGAAACATATCATTATTACATCTTTATATTCAATTTTATTCATAGTGTAATTAATCATTGTTTAATTCAGATAATTTCAAGTTCATATATTATTCTCCAATTTTATTTATTTTAATTTATTATACATTAATTAGCATTCATTAGCGGTTTAAGATGTTAGTTAACATTATTATATATATGTGTGTGTGTGTGTGTGTGTAAATTTTCAATTCTACATACGTACTTTTATTTCATGTATTTTCTCCACCGACTGATATATTTGTCATCACACAAAATCTAAAAAAAGACCGCAGAAAACGTCACTTGGGGGACACAATTATACGCGTGCACTCGCATAGGAATAAAGTTCGCGCACCCTAAAACAAATCGCGCGTTGGGACGCGAAACAAGTGGAAAGGAACACACACGGAAGGAACTCCTCGTGCGGAATGTACGCCTTTAACGAATCGTGGAGCGAAAAAAAGAACGAAAGGATACGCAGAATACTCGAAACGCATCGGCGCATTCTGTCATCTCTCTTTCTCTCTCTCTCGCGTCTAACTCTAATACCCAATTCTCGGTCTCTCTTCGCGCGTCGACAGACTACAGTCCGCCTCGCTCTTCTCTAGGCAAAGGGGTCAGGAGAGACGGTCGCCATGGCAACTACATCCGGCGAGGGGCTACGATGTTGCATCGATTGCACCCTCCCGTGCGCGCAAACGCGACCCTGACCTTCGCACAGCTGACGATGACGGCGGACCGGGACAACGTATAGGGAAGCCCGCCCGAGAATTAGCGCTGCCGGTTCTTATTAAGGTACGTCGTCGGCTATTTAACGCGCGGCGTTAAACTGCGTCAAATAAAGCGCGATATGTCGCGTCGAAAATATATAAGTGCGCGTCAAACAATTGTAGAATTCATATTCCGGGATTTTTTAATTTTTTCGAGAAATTAGAAAAATTTATAAAATAATATAAAATAATAAATAAATATAAAATGATAAAATAAATTTATCAAATAAAAGCTCTGACGCGTTTTTGCTTTATGATGAATAAGTATTTTTCACGAAATTATTAGAAATCTTACACTTTTATAATAAATTGTAAAAGAATCGCATAAAAGAGCATCGACATCGTTTTTTAACATTCTATTAATTTGTTGCATCAATCATAATTAAGAGCGTAATTATTTTCTGATTAATGACTGAAATGATACATTAAGTTATGACCGATATAATTATTTTCGCTCCGCTTAGTTCCTTAATTATGATTATTGATTACTCAATAACTATAAATTAAAATTGCTAATTTGATAATAATAATCGTTGATTTGATTAAGTATCTTTTGCTCGATTCTCTGATTGATAGTAATGCAAAGATTAACTTTAGTTCTAAGTTTTATTTTTTTTATGTAAAAATGTGTAATATTTTATATTTTTTGTTTTATATATATATAAAATAAAATGAATAAAACGATAAATGAAAGACTCTAAATTTTGAGACAGTTCTGAGAAACTGATTGCGTTATTCGTGAAATAGTTTTATCAATAAAAACAGATACGACCTTGACATGGCTTCTCTTGCAATTCTAAAGCGCACTACCCGGAATTAGTTTCGCAGCTCGTGCATTTAGGAGCTGCGCATGCAAATGTCACACTCGAGAATGCAATCGGCGTAATTTTCTGCCATTCTCCGCGGGAGATATCGAGGCTTCGATGGGAAAATCTATACGTTAAAATATCGAAGCGGATATCGGTGTGCTCAATTCAACGATCATAAATCCGCTTCGCGAAGCAAGATAACAGACTTATTAACTATATCATATACATTTTTCAATTAAATAATATACTGGCACATCCTCGATAAATCTTTTTCCTAATTTAATTATCGAGAAACGCATTTGATAATAAGTATTGTATATGTAAACTTGTTATTAAAATTATTGAGTTAAAACCGCTAATAATGCAAATAAAATTGTAAGTTAAAACTGCGATAATGACAATTAATGTGAATCTCAATTTATAATCTTCGAGTTCTATATTTGCAAGATAATGCATGATTTTAGAAAACAGATGTGAAGAAAATATATTTTATTTAGTGTCAGTTATTTTTATTCGCATGCGTTTTAAACGCATTTTTAAATCGCGTCGGTGGTATATAAATTCGGCTGGAATTGCTGCAAAAGTTCGGGTACGCATCCTGGAATGCATGCAGAAGTCGCACAATTTTCCATTCGATACGTGGAGTAATTACGCGCTTCCGGTTTCTCGGAACAATTACAGTCGACCATCCGCGACGAGCCATCAATTCTCTTCTCTTTTTTCTCCACCTATATTTCCCCCTGTTCTTTTCTATCTCATCATAATAACATTTTAAAGCGATGAAATACGAAAGAACAAAATCTATAGGTACACGTTAGAATACGCGATGAATCGGTCTTGTGACACAATGCATTTCGAAGCAGAATGGAAAAAAGACGACTTCTTTTACAACAGGCAACTTTTTGTCTGCTGCGCATTTTTTTTTTCGTGTTCAAAAAATTTTTCCACGTCTTTTCTCTAAATTTTTGAATTTTCATAAATCTCACTCACAATATGTTTCTCCGTCAAATAATTATGTCAGAAAATAATAACTTTATGACAATTTAAGGTATAATTTCTAAAGATAAAAGCATCTATATCATTGTACATCAATCGTAGCAGGACCAAATTTTTAAGTATAAATTAATTAATTAATTATAAGATAAGATGTGTCGCAAAAATTATACTTTCAGCAAACTAGTTTTTTTTAAATCATAATATTATTTGTAATAGAGTATATATAAATGATAATAATAAAATAGTGACATAAAACATGTGTGCATAAAAAAATGTTAACAAAATTAAAATTAATTACTTCTTCAAAAAATAAATATAGGTATTAATAAATCCATTAAAAGAGTCACAAGAAAAATGGAATAAAAATAAAAAAAGTAAACAACCCGATTCTTAATTTTTTCATTATCTTCCTCAGTTCTGCTAGAATTAAGTACATCAGCTGAAAATAAATTCGTGTCTTACCTTACAGCAGAAGGCTCGGCATGTCAGTATGGTTTTCGTATACACACGCGGCGAATGTCTGTAACAAAGAAACGACGTCTGTTAAAATAGAAAGTGCACAGGCGAGAAATAAAAAAAAGAATAAATAAATACGTAGAAGTACGATGCGAGGAGCAGGTCAATGAATGATATCCTACTTGCGTACCGATCGTGCTTCACGTGAACTTTACTACCTACACGTTCCGCGAATGTCTGATTTATGCAACACCGATACGTGCGACAAAGAACTTTCAGAAGTTATGCCCAGCTTAAATTTCAAACGTGCCAATTCAAAGCCGCTCGATTCAAAGACCGCTAAATCGACCGCACTCGAATTCGATTTAAAGCGATTATAAAACCTGCGTGTGTCTGCATATGTGCGTGCGCCAATCTTCGAAGTAAACAGAATATTAAACATGAAATTTTATAGTTAAATAATGGTAAAAGAAATATCTTTAACTTGTATTTTATTCCTTAATTAATGTAGGTTTTAATTCAATGAGAACTATATGAATGACTTTGAAGTATGAAATAACAACTATGTACACAATAAGTATTCTTCTTTGTTTCAAGAAAATGTATTTTTAAAAATCTGGATTTTTTTAATGATGATAATAAGTAAAAGGAAAAAAGAGTCGATGGTAATGAAAAATATATTACTACGCCACTTATATCTATATACCACTTACGGGACTAATGAGGTTTTCGGCGGTGAATGTTATGTGAAATAACAAGATGAAAGAAAATAACCGCGCGAGACGAGAGGAAAGAACGAGCGGATCGCGATGAATGATGTATGTATGTATTTCGTGACTAGGATCATCGTAGATCTCTTGTGGCTTGCCACGCCCGAGACTCGCGACAGAATTTAAAGCTTCTATTTATAAAGAGTGAACGAACGCGATGGCAGCCGCGACACGACGCATCGGGTCAGAATGCACGCACACTCGCACTCGCAAGCACTCGCAAGCACTCGCGAGCACTCGCGAGCGTTCGCATGCAGTCGCGATATGCATACAGAAACAAATTCTTAACTTGACTAAACCTTTCAACTAAATTACCATTTTTTTCATTCAATATATTAGTATTTAATTTAAACATTGTTACATGATCAATTAAATTTTACATGCGAAATTAAAATATTTAATAAAAGGTTTAATCAAGTTGACGAATTTTATTTTTCAGTAGTTTCCGAGATATTCCACATTTTATTAACGCAATACAGATTACTGCTTTATTTCATTTCGATATTAAATGAAATAATGTGATGTACTTTTAGATCTTTTAATGTATTCACAAAAAGGAGTGTAAAGGTATAAATCCCCAAGATTTTTTTTAAAGTTGAAGAAGTTTTTCACAATATATGAGACGACTTTATATACTAAATTGCGAATTAAAATATAAATATAATGTTTTTAAATTCTTATTTCCTACTTCAACTTTACAAATCCTCATTCTTACAAAAAATAGAGATTATTAAGTATAAATTGATTGAAAAATTGATTGAAATTTAAATTACTTTTTAGCGTCTCTTCTAATATAATAACATTATAAATTATTTGATTTTAATAATTTTATCGTTAACTTTTATATACCAGATCGAATTACGTTTTCCTTTATAATAAAGCTCAATATAAAAAAGACCCATTATTTCACAATTAATTCCTATCGAACAATTTTTTCCCAATACTTTTGACATTATTTTTTCCTTTCTGCTTTCGTGTGCAAAAAATTGCAAACAGGTTGATTAACTTTACGGAACACAACATTATTACTCTTTCGGTGCTTTGTTAGCGGTCGCCTCTCGTGGAAATTTCCTTTCAAAAACAGACAGAGAGATGGACTTGTTACGAAGAGGGAGCCCGGAAGTAGTGCACGAGATTAGTGTGTCTCTCATTTCGGTGACACGTCTCTTCTCCCTTTTTCAAACCCTATTTCTCCCTCGCGTCTTATTTCCAGCGCCGTCTGCTTTGAAACTGGGCGTCGTGTGTATTCTCGTCCCGTAGGGGATGAAAAAGTAGCGAAAATAGTAATCCGGCTATTCCACCTCTTCCCTTTTTCATGCGCTTCAAAGAGTCTTTTGATCAGACAAAAATCGGGCGACCGATTTTCCAGGATTTCTTTGCATTGTATCATTAATTCCACCTCTCTCTATAATAAAGATCGCGACTGTAATCTTTGCGAATAATAGACCCAGTCCCTACTAATCACGACAAACAAAAAGAAGAAGAAAGATTTTCGTATATTCTCATTTATGTCTCATAGGAAGATCTTTTCCTCGATGAATATTATAATCAAAAAAAAAAAAAAACGCGTATCACGAGAGTTTATTGCTTTTTTTGATTTTAAATAACATCTGTGTCCACACCAATATTTTTATATTTTTTATTTATTGGTGCGTGTCTCATTGTAAATCTCACACTCATGATATCACGCGCGAAAGCGAGATAAACTGGTGTAATGACCTAAGACCAAGTGAAAACAAATGAAGCGAATCGATGCGTTTTATTGAACATTCTTTTTTCGCGCGATTTATCGGTATGTAATAATTTATCGGCAATTCAGCGGGATTTTAACAACGATGCATCAAGGCTTGGAAAGTATATGACAGCGATTACGTTCATTATTATTTTCGTAACTGAAGATACGTGTGTGTGTGTGTGTGTGTGTGTGTGTGTGAACACTGTAGTTAATATATATACACACAATGGCAAAATTGCAGGAAGTATCTTTTAATCTTGGAAAATATAAAATTAATTTCAATAAGTAAATCTTTTCCATTCGGGAAGTATAATTATATTTTTCAGATTCATATTTAGGTCATTTTAATTAAATTTCA